AAAAAAATTCATCCCCCTCACAGTTGTCATGAAGGGCAAAATTAGTTATATAGACCAAAATAATTTTTTGAACCAGGCTGTAAACATGTTTTTTTCTGCTGTAAATTTGGGCATTTTAACATGGGGAGTCTATGGGATTGACTCCCTTTTGCAGCCAGCCTCTAGCGGCCAGTTGATGAATTACAGTTTAAGTCACTTCCTTGTTGGCTTCACGAGAGAGAGCGGGAGGTTGCCGCTTGGCTGAAACCTAAAGATGTCAGAGTTCCGCTCACCATGCAACTGATACTCGACTGCCATTGGCTCATTTGCGTTCGAGGGGAGGGGCTTACCGATAGGTCAATTGCGAGAAAAAAGTCAGAATAGTGAGTTTATATCTCACAATTCTGACTTTATAACTGGCAATTGTGCGAAAAAAAAAAGTCAGAATTGTGAGATAAAAAGTTGCAAGTACTTTTTTTTTATTCAGTGGCGGAAACGGGCTTCCATACAACACTGACTGTAACATATAATTCCAATAAAATAAGATAAAAATAAATAAAAAATATTGTGCATCTGTATAGTGTGATTGATTTTAAAATTATGTTAAAAAACAAATGCTAAAACCAAACATATGCCCTTGACCACTAATATGGACAAACTGGCAGATGTCTAAAGACCAACTACAGAGCTGTCCTAAATTAAAGAGCTTGCCAAACAACGAATTAACCTCTCAGATGGAGTATGACAAAGGAAGGCAGAATCTTTCCGCCAATTAGCAGAAAGAAGCTAATAACTGATCCTCTTAAATCAGATATTAGCCAGAGAAAGCATCTGGCCTTGTTCTACCTACCTTACACACATAGTAGAAAGGAAACCAGTGAAGAAAAATGTCAGAGAAGAATTCACCCACGCTGAAGAAACCGTAGATTACCCAGTATGTCAGCCATTGTGTGTCATCCTCCTTATCAGGACTTTCTATTGCTTTGATACTAAAAATGTAAACAGAACAAAATCTGAATACCCAAGTTAAGAAGTTACTGCAACCAAAAAAAAACACTATAATAAAGATTTATTGTAGGTAACGATAACTGATGATTTGTAAAAAAAAAAATAATAAAAAAAAAAAAAACTTAAAAGCACATAACTCACGAGTAATATGCAGGATAAACAAAACCAATCAGATTGCAGAGCAGAGAAGCGCCGTATCCAAATAATAAATATGCTCCGGTCACACCAGCAGCACCTGTTGGAAGAAAATCATAAAATGTCCTTGTGTAAACAGCAAAATCACATGTGAAATGACTGTAAATAACTAGCTATCATGGGTAACTGTTTTTGGATGAAGCCTCAAATGTAATCTTTAGCACTATTTTTCAAAGTAGAGTTAGATGTTGAGGGATGAAGGCGAAGTCACGGGTTGGTTACGTCAGACAACGTCAGACAAAATCTCCCTTTGAGGAACTTCATTATTCAGAAATTGATTCATACATTTCAGCTATTTTTCTGTCCTTTTCATGAAGGGAAATTAATTTCTCCTTATTCATGATGTTATGATATTTGTCATTTATTTCACATGCCAATAATAGGCTTCTGTGTAAGCAGCTTCGACTGACTTGAGCACCTGTTACATCAAAATTTAGGATAACATAGCCTACGGGTACTTTTTATTAAATATACAGAACATGAAACGGGCTTTATATAAAATCAGGACTTACCGAGCGCTAAATAACGTTTCTTGATGCCTGTTTTTTCTTCGATTTTATTGAGACAGTCGGTGACTATATTCTTCTCGTTCAAAAAAGCCTCGACGCGGTCTTTTATCTTTGCAAATATGGTAAACATCGCGGCTTAAAAGGAAAGTGTAACGTTATGCAGTTAAACACAAGTGTATGGATGATAACGTGTCTCTGGGCTGTTTTCGCTGACTGGACTCAGACTCAATCCGCTTACTGTCAGACTAGTGGCGCGTCTGTGGAAGGATTTCAGGACTCCAGACTGACAGCTAACACCAATTACACTTCATTCAAGACGTCAAACTAGTGCAAAAGATGAGGAATCTTAAAATACATTTTAAAATTTAACTTAAATGCATTTGGTTACTTTAGCTTACGGCTATCGCCCTATTGGCTCACACCTGATTATGTAGGCTAATCAATAGGCTATCAATAAATTTCAGTAGCATACTAAACAGTTGTAACCACTAGGGGACTCTGCTCACCTGACATTACGTCAGTCTCGTTATTTCTGCAGCACAGGAATCTGAACTGTGCCAAATAAATGTTCGTTTAATAAGTAAAATAAATGTACTTTTCAAATCATCACTATTAGCCGAAGTAGCATATCTAAGCCAATTTAACCATAATATTTCTTCACTCTGCTCTTTCTGCCAAGAGGAAGAAGAATCTAATTTCACATTTATTCTATTTCTGTTACAGTTTTTTACGATTGCTTAAGCACAATTTTGAAAACAGGGCCCGGTTTGTCAAAACACTACACACAATTAACACAACCCTACACCAAAGTAGCACAACACTACCTGCTCCTTCTCCTTCTCCTCCTCCTCCTCCTCCTCCTCTCACCCTCACTCTTCTTCTGACTCCTTCCATTTTGGTTGAAGGCAGGTGAACCTACCTGCTGCATTTTTATAGTGCTTAAACCTGATTGGTGTGTCTACAATTTAGCAATCATGTGTTTGTGCACCTGATGGCTGTGTTTAACAGATTGGCTCATAGGTGTGGTAATTTGACAGTCAGTGCTTTGGAATTGCAAGGAAGTGACATCATGATATACTTCTGTGTCTGATGTATACAAGTGTGTTTAGTGTTTTGCAAATCACTGTGTGTAATGTTTTGCAAATAGTGTGAAGCTGACAATGTGCTTACAGTTGTGAAAATCTAGCCTTGTGTTTTGCTCCTTGAGTGTAAGGTTTTGCTAATTGTTGGAAAAGTTTAATTTTAGTGTGTAAGCAATCGTAAAAAACTGTAAACAATTTTGGCTTCAAATATCAGCTTCCCTACGTCTTGTGTTCCACCAGCTCAGCTATTTCTATCTGGTTCTTTTCCATTATCATGTTTCTGAGAATAACGAGTTAGATGATGTCTTAAACTTTATATGTATGATGGGTAAATACCATATCCACCAAGACAAATACCTTAAATTTAAACCCAGTTGCAAAATATTAGCTTCTGATTTACAATTATTATTGTCATCACTTCAAAAAGTCCCCTGCAATAAAAAAAAAGCTCTGACGACATCTCGTACGGTCTCTCTCTTTCTCTCTTTCCTTTGTTTCCACCCCCATGTTTTATGTTCTTTGGTCTGTATTATATTTCTGCAAAGAAAAAGAAAAACACCGAATCTATCTGATAGCTTACTGGAAATGCATAGACAGACAGGTATGCGAATACCTTGAGCAGGCAAGCACGTGCATGTCGTTATGGCGAAATGGGGGGAATAACCTGAAGCACTAATGTCACGTTACCTCGGAAGAATAAAACGCTGTCTTTGTTTTTTAATGACACGGAGATAAGATGAAAACCAGGAGAAAGAAATCATTCAGAGCCATAAAGTACACGTTATTTGTGTTTTGCTACATCTTCTGGGTAAGAGTGTCTCTTGTAATCAATGTAGCATATGCTGATTTATGGAGCAACAATGTGTTTTGTGTATTGTTTTTTTTTTTTTTTTTTTTTTTTTGAATGGGGGGAATTCAAAGCTGTTATCTGGAAATGAATTAAGGGCAAAAGTTGCACTGTATAGCTTTTCGCACTGGTCTGTGAAAAAATACATGCCACGTGAGTGTGGGGAATCTGGTGGTGAGACACAACATTCACATTTGCCAATAGGGTGAATTCAGGTAAAGTGGGTCGTTTAAGTTTGATTACCCTTACCAAAAAGTAGTATACTTTATTTTATTTTAGTAAGTATACTTAAGTAAAGTTCAAGTATATTTTTAAGTATACTTTATGTAGTAAGTATACAAATATCAGTGTACTAGTAGTATACTTGTAAGTGTACTATTTCAATACTCCTTGGGACTAAATTGGCCCACTTTCTAGTATATAAAAGTATACTTTTAAGTATACTTTAAGTATAACAGTAGTAAACGTTGAGTACACAACTAGTTTACATCAAAAATTTTAGCTTGTACTGCAACTACACTAAAAGTGAACTTATAAAGTCAAGTATACTTAAATGTCATTTTAAGTATATTTCTGAGAAGTACATAATGCCCATTTCTGAGAAGTACATAAAAAGTAGACTAAAAGTATACTTTCCTATTTTTAGTTTAAAAGAAGTATACTAATAGCACACTTGAATAAACGTATTTTTCGTAAGGGTATACTTTGCTCAATGGGTTTACAATTTCAAAGCATAAAATTGTCTTACATTAAAGAGACACTTTCTTTAAAATGATAAAATCGTTTTGGCTGATTCTTTATGACACTGGTGATTGTGATTACACTTCAAAGGATGACTCCCTCATCATGAACACGAAAATGTAAACAAATATTATTGTGACAGTATTATTTGTCACTTCAGTTAACATGGATTAAAATTAAATATATATATATATATATAAAGTAAAGTGTGGCCACCTTGAACCTTCACTTAGCTAAATAAATTGTAGACTACTAATACATTAAGTAAATTGACATTCACTTGTTATTTTTATAATTAACATATATATCTGACTTTTTACAAAACAGATATGAGTGTGCAGTCAGGATAATCAATTCAGATATGGAAGAAAGCAAGCAGAAAGGATGGCAAAGCTTGAAGTTGAATCTGAAGTGAAAAAGGGAAGACAGGAGCAAAACAGAGTAAAGCTATAAAACATGGTCGCAATTACATTTCATCTAAAGTTTTACAACAATACACTTTAAATGCTCATTTTATTCATTTTCTACGCCTATTTGTTATTGCATGTGTTATAGTCACAGTTTAGTGTTGTTCATTTGCATCAAAATTGCATTAGATTTCATCAAATTTAATATCAACACAACATTCTATCAGTTGTTTTGAATTTTACACATGAATTGAGTGAATTTATTAACTTTACTCATAGCCCATGCTATATGTTTTCATGTCAGGTTTGTTAAATATGTTTGTTTGATCATATTAAACAAATATATTTGTATAATTTCTATTTAAGATACAAGATCTTTTTTTTGTTGTTGATAAATCAAAGATGGCCCACTTTAACTGAAAAGACATTTATCTGGAGTGCAAGTTACCTTAAAGTTAACAAGATGAGGTAATATCTAAAGTATCTGCTCAATAAAAAAAAAGCCCCACCTTACCAGAAGAATTCACCCTATTAACTTGTGAACAATATGCATATTAAATTGTATTTAATGTTGTGCCTATACTGCATGTTGTTGAGAAAATTTGAATGGAATTTAAGTGTTGAAGACATTTTATACAAATTAGTGTTGTTGTGCTAAAGGTGTTCAGTGCTGTTCTAATTGCTGTTGGAATCTATGCCAAAGTTGCCAAAGAGTCAGGTATGTAAACAACATTTACCATATTCTTTCATCTTTTGTAATGAAAGAAGCTTGCAAACCCTTAAGAATGACAAAATATGTGTGCATATTACATTATACTGTATTATGCTTACCAAATCAGTTTCAGTATGTTGTTAATGAAGATATGTCAACTACCCATGTACATTTTACGCTGTATATATTTTTCGCTAATGCTTCACAGATGTAGTGGACACGCTGATGGCAGATCCAGCGCTGCTGTTGATCATCGTGGGTTCTCTCATGTTCACCATCACGTTTTTTGGCTGTTTCGGAGCTCTGCGCAACATCTCCTTGCTGCTCAACATGGTCAGATATTCTTATCCTTATACTGTGACAAGCCCGATTTTAGTCACAAGTATGATTTTTGGTTTTTATATATTTAAAAAGAAATCATATCTGTCCAGTTTGTAGGAATTTTGTTGGCCATTCTGCTTCTTCAAGTAACAGCCGCTGTTCTGGGCCTTCTGTTCTCTGAAAAGGTAAAGAATCACAGAAGTACAAGAACAAACTTTGGACCAGAATCCATCTTGGAGAAATTATGCGATATTTAAAACGACTACTTTCAATATTTGTTGGTAGGTTCAAGAGAGGACAGAGCAGCTGATGATGAAGGCGATTGTACGCTATCGTGATGATCAGGACCTGGAAAATGTGATTGATTTTGTACAGAAAAAGGTGAATGAACTTTATATATACACATACTGTATGCAAAAAATACAGTAAAAAACATAATGTGAAATATTATTACAATTTAAAATAAGTTTTCAATTTTAAAATTGCAAAATGTAATTTATTCCTGTGATGGTAAAACTATATTTTCAGCATCATTACTTCAGTCTAATATGCTGATTTGCTAAACATTTCTTATTATTACACTCGAAAAAATGCTGGTTTAAATACAACCCAGTGCTGGGTAAAATATGGACAAACCCAGCAATTGGGTTGTTTTAACCCAGCGGTTGGGTTACTAACCAGAAGGTTGGGTTAAACATTTAACCCAACCACTGGGTCAAAACAACCCAATTGCTGGGTTTGTCCATATTTTAACCAACACTGGGTTGTATTTAACCCAGCATTTTTTCGAGTGTATCAGTGTTGATGTTGTACTGCTTAATACAATCTTTTTTTTGTGGAAAGTATGATACTTTTCAGAATTCTTTGATGAATAGAAATTATAATAGAATTTATAAGTCAAGTCAAGTCACGTTTATTTATATAGCGCTTTTAACAATACAGATTGTGTCAAAGCAACTGAACAGCATTAATTAGGAAAATAGTGTGTCAATAATGCAAAATGACAATAGTAAACACTAATTTTTCAGTTAAAGGCAGTTCATCATTGAATTCAGTGATGTCATCATCCAGCTCAGTTCAGTTTAAATAGTATCTTTGCAATCAAGTCAACGATATCGCTAGAAATGAAGTGTCCCCAACTAAGCAAGCCAGAGCCGACAGCGGCAAGGAACCAAAACTCCATCGGTGACAGAATGGAGAAAAAACCTTGGGAGAAACCAAGCTCAGTCGGGGGGCCAGTTCTCCTCTGACCAGACAAAACCAGCAGTTCAATTCCAGGCTGCAGCAATGTCACATTGTGCAGAGGACTCAACTGGCTCCTGTGGTCTTGTCCCCATGGCCGTCTGAGACAAGGTCTTTACTGGGGATCTGTATCTGGGGCTCATCTAGTTGTCCTGGTCTCCGCTGTCTTTCAGGGCTGTAGAGGTCCTCTCTAAGTGCTGATCCACCATCTGGTCTGAATATGTACTGGATCCGGGCGACTGCAGTGGCCATCTGATCTGTATACAGACTGGATCTGGTGGCAGCGGTGACCTCGGAATAAGAGAGAAACAGACTAATATTAGCGTAGATGCCATTCTTCTAACGATGTAGCAAGTACATCGGGTGTTATGGGAAGTGTTCCCGGTTCCGGTTGACCTAATTAATGCAGCCTAAAAATCCTTTAACGGATTTGAATATTAGAAGCGTATTAGTGTGTTATGAGTAAGCCAGGTTAAAGAGGTGGGTCTTTAATCTAGATTTAAACTGACAGAGTGTGTCTGCCTCCCGAACAATGTTAGGTAGGTTATTCCAGAGTTTGGGCGCTAAATAGGAAAAGGATCTGCCGCCCGCAGTTGATTTTGATATTCTAGGTATTATCAAATGGCCAGAGTTTTGAGAACGCAGCGGACGTGGAGGACTATAATGTAACAAGAGCTCGTTCAAATACTGAGGTGCTAAACCATTCAGGGCTTTATAAGTAATAAGCAAGATTTTAAAATCTATACAGTGTTTAATAGGGAGCCGCTGCAGATGCGCTGCACTCGCGGTTTTAGAATAAAAGCGAACGATCAAATTAATCAGATTAGGTTGATAGATAATATCAGAAGTATGGTGGGAATTAAGTTATATTTTATCACTTTAAACAACAAAAAATAAAGTATTAAGTTATTATATAATAATGGTATTTATTTGAAATAGAAATCTTTTGTAACATTATGAATATCTTTACTGTTACTTTTCATCAGATTCATGTAGTTAAGTGAAGTGACATGTGGTCAAGTATGGTGACCCATACTCGGAATTAGTGCTCTGCATTTAACCCATCCAAAGTGCGCACACACACAGCAGTGAACACATACACCGTGAACACACACCCGGAGCAGTGGGCAGCCATTTATGCTGCGGCGTATTACACTCTAAAAAATGCTGGGACAAAACAACCCAATTGCTGGGTTTGTCCATATTTTACCCAGCACTGGGTTGTATTTAACCCAGCATTTTTTATAGTGTATCAGTGTTGATGTTGTACTGCTTAATAAAATCGTTTTTTGTGGAAAGCATGATACTTTTCAGAATTCTTTGATGAATAGAAATGATAATAGAATTTATAAGTATTAAGTTATTATATAATAATATAATAGTATTTATTTGAAATAGAAACTTTTGTAACATTATGAATATCTTTACTGTTACTTTTCATCAGATTCATGTATTCTTGCTGAACAGAAGTATTAACTTTTAACATTAACATTTCTGACCCCATACATTTGAACAGTATAGTGTAAGTATGTGAGATTGATGAATGGCCGATGCATGCAAAGATTACACTGTTGATCTTTCTATAATCTTACTATATCCTGTAGTTCAAGTGCTGTGGCGTGGATTCCTATTTAGACTGGTCTAAAAACATGTACTTCAACGCATCTGACCAGAACCCCAGTCTGGAGGCCTATGGAGTGCCCTTCTCCTGCTGCATACGGCTAAAGAATGAGGTCAGATAGTCAAAATCAAATATTACTGTTAGTATTACTGCAATTAATTCATGAAACATTTAAAGTATTTTTATACATTTTTTAAAATTATTGCTGGGAAACGATTAATCGCGATTAATCACATCCAAAATAAAAAATTTTGTGTACGTAATATATGTGTGTGCTGTGTATATTTATTATGTATATATAAATA